ATATATATATATATATATATATATATATATATATATATATATATATAGAGTATAGAGTACAAGCACATACAACATTAGACATAAATTTATGAGCTAATATTTATATTCAATACTCGTCGTATCTGAGAGCATAGCAAGTTTATCATTCCCTTTGTAACGCGTAGAAGAACGCATCAAATATTTATAAGTAAACATGCATAGATAAGAACCCTTTCTTCTCTTCTTCTTACTATGTTCGAACAGTATTTTGGTAACATTTGAGACAGCCACGATCGTGAACTATGCACGTAATAAATTCATTGTGGAAAAATATTCAACTGAGTGACATGTGTTTTCTTAGTAAACCTATAATGAAAAAACCTAATGAGACAGATCTTAACGGACAGTAATGACATCCGTAAGAGTAGATGTTAACTAAGTGTAAATGGCAGCAATTTAAGCTTTATTTTGCCTGGTATCAATTCACCAGAAGGATTTAAGATAAAACGCAGACATATGATATGAGATGCAAAAAATAGATCAATGTGGTCCGAATTTACCGTAATTGACTTTTACGTTAACTCACTATTATGGACCATTTTTTGGATCTCTTTGCTTAGTGCTTTTGTGGGGACGAGTTCAAAGGATTGACCTACGTTGTTCAAATTTGATACACAAGATTTCTAAGTGAAATTACCGTTACGAACAATTTAAAAGCACAAAACCAAAGAACTTTTCCATTTCGTATGGGAAACGCGGGAGATCCCCTATCTAATTTACGGGCCTTAAACGTTTTTTCTATATATTTTTCACATAGTTACAGGGCATATTAAGTTGGCGCGGATGTACTCACTATTCATTACACCGGCCGGAATTAATTTAAGCTTGTCTCTCTCCCTCTGGCTGTCTGAGGTATGCCCATCTATTTTTTTTGTTGTACTCAAGCTTTTTGAAATATTTTGACAAAATTTGGTGAACTGACGGGCATGTTGCTGTGACCAAGGAGAAATCCTATTGAAAATGGATTAGATCGGTTCAATTTCTGACCAGTTCCCAAATAACATCTCGTTTTGACAAAATCGCCATATAAGCAAAATTTTATTTCTCCAAACAAATCGCTCAGTAATAGCAAGTATTTCAACTTGATGATTAAATTTTCTGCGTCCACTCCCATATATTCCCATATGTTGTACGAAAAAGTAGGCAAAAAGTATTAATTTTTATTGTATCGAGTTAAGAATTGGCCAATAACATTAATTTGTGATCAAAAAGAACTGTACGGTAATAAGGTGACGTAAAACTATTATTTGGACTACATCTAACATGGGTTCTCATGAAACCTATGACGAAGAAAGTCTAACTATTTATAGTTTTGTGATGAAAGCATATGGAGAATAATGCGATCTTCAAGATTATTTTTTTTTTTAATTTTTATTAAAATTTGGAAAATTTGTATGAAACGAAGTAGTGTAAGGTGTTGAATAGTAGGCCTTGCCCGACTCATGTTCTTTTATTTGTTTATCTTATGTTTTTTCCTGTATTTTATAAATTCTTAATTTTATTACTTTTAATAAAAAATTATTAATTTCACTCAAAATAATTTGTTGATATAAAATTTCTTTAAAACTCTGAAGCATTTCATAGGATTTACTGGCATTCACACATAAGGTCCCGGCACGATATAAAAAACTAGAGAAACAAGTTCATTGCCTTAAAGAAGACCCGGTCCTCAAGCTCTCCAAGAAGACAATCTGAGTTAAATAAATCGCGGTTTGAAAATATTATGTCTTATCCGTTTTAGCAATGAACGATCTGATCGGGACGAGAACTTTGCATACACATTAGGCTGAGAATAATCCGGAAGCTATTAGTGAAGATTTCAGGCCAAAAAATAAAACATCTACGTATGCTATGGCATTTTATACTTTCTCGCCATTATAAATAACTCGTTCTAACAAAAAAAAAAAAAATAAAAAAAATAAAAAAAAAACTTCGAAGAAAGAGAATGAAGAAAAGCATTTGAACTCATTTACTAAGAGACGACGACATTTCTTTGGTAGAAAATTGATGAAAATCAAAGTTTTTCATTTAATTAAACGCCACACACAAATCCACAGTACAACAACTATTCCCAAAGAGCTTGCTTACAGCTTTGAGCTATTAAATGTAATCTGTCAAAAGATGCCTCTATCAAGATTATTTAAATTCAAATATAAAAATGGGCATGGGGGG